AAAAAATCAAAGGTAAATAATGGACAGCTCAATAGAATGATTCTCTGTTAAACAAAAATATAAGTTTGATTCTCTGCATACACAATATTAAGAACTAAGTGAAAAAATATTTCATTCTGATGAAAACAAAGTCTGCGAAATATGAAATTTTATCCCATGATAATAAATCATGTATATTACATAATATCCCATAATAACAAATCATAATACTATATTGAGCCTTATGAAAATAAAAACAAGTAAATTTTTTTGAATAACTGGTTCTTTCCAGAATGGGCAAGAAGTTTGCAATGCCTTCGCACAAAAATTATAATTGTAATAAAAGCAATTTAAAAACTTTACCGTAATATTCTAACGTAATAAAATAATACATAAAATTACAGACAGAATTATACCCAAATCGCATTATAGATCACCTAAAATAGACTTTACCATTCACAGAATCTTCAGAATCGGAGCTCCGACGACGTATCTTTGTACCACATTCTTCCATGTCATCTTCCTCGTCTTCGAAAACCATATCTTCCATATCCTCATTTACCTCTTTATCCATAAATTCAATCTCCTCTTGAGTGAATGACATTAATGGATTGATAGAATTAGCGAAAGAATTTGTTTTATCGCTTTCTACATCCTCGACGCGTTCCGGACTACTACAATGCGGTGGTGGTACTCTCGATCCGCGTGCCTACGATACTTCATGTTTATTATTAATGTCGAGACAACGTGCGTTTTAATAAATTACCATAAAAGTAATTGTTTAAATAATGTAACTTAACATTGTAAAATTATGGCATTTATACCTGTGATGTTAAAGGAAACAAGCGTTCATCCACGTGTTCCCAGCGTTCCGCACATGTCCATAACCAATCCGAATTTACGATTTTAATATTTGTGTCTTTTCTAGCTGCGTTTGCTTTCGCTGTACCTTTTCTAATAGCAACCAAATGCGTGGTTTTCTCCGTTAAGTCCTGGCAAAATTTTATTGTTATTTATTAAAACATAATAAATTATTATAAAAATAAATACAAAAGTATTACTTGAGTCACTTCTGCTCCAAACGCTCTCGCGACCTTATATGCGCGACTTTGATGAAGTTTTTGATGAGTAGGTATCAAGCCACTGAAAGTTAAGCATAATCCTTTCAAAACTTGAGAGCGTACCCGTGGGATTATATCCCGCAAAGACTTTCGAGTATTCTCTTGATCCAATGTAGCGTAAAACTCTGTATGAATTCTTCGGAGAATATCTTCCAAGTATAGTAGATAATCATCATCATCGTCATCTATTATATTACTCTCCTGCTTTGGCACCGCTTGCTTACTGTTTTTATTCGTTTCCACAGATGGTGTAATTTTCATTATTTCCTTTTTATCGTCTTCTTTCGCAGTACTAGTTTGAACATTAGATTCCGCATCCTTTTCAGTATTCACTTTATCATCTTCGTCTTTTTCATTCTTGTTTTTCATCTCGTCCATAGTTTTCTCATCTTTCTCATCTTCATGATTTGTTTCTTTCACAGAGGGATTGTTTAACGGCTGTTCAGCTTCATTTGATAATTCAGAGGCATCATTTTTGCTATCCTTGTTTTGCGAATTTGTATAGGATTCATTTGCATTCACCGGCTCCGGCAAACGCAATATTTCAGCCTTTTCCAAACCTGGTAGTGCATTAATATCGCCGGTGTGACGGAAAAAATGATAGGGTTTGACCTGAACCAAATTTCCACATCCTTGCCATACGTCTTCTCTATCGTCTATAATACATACTAAGTCATCGCCGCATGGAAACAAAGCTCTGCAATAAATAAGATAATATAATTGATCTCTAAATATTTATCTCTAATAATGTTATATAAAATTTAAGAAGCAATTTATAAATACTTGAGGTTTGCAGTTTTGGATGCTGGATCAAAACATTCGTCTCTCGAAAGTATCCTGTGAGAGAACAGAATTCCATCCTTGTCTAGCAATGACGCAACAGTGTGCGCATAAATTCTTGCTCCGAAAGTACAAATATGTAATTCGTACAAACGACTCATTTCCGAGAGGAAGTGCCGGGTGTTCGGTCTTAATCTGGTGTGGTACCACGGAGAGTTCAGCCCGTACAATTGAAAATGGAAAACATCCTTTGAAAAGAAACATTTTATTATTTTGCAATAATGCTAGAAAATTCTATATAAAAAATTTTTATAGAAAATTATGACAGCATATAATAAAATGTATGCGTACTTTCAAATTGGGTGGAATATTATCGTTTGTGGTATGAACGATTGTTTGATCAAGATCCACAAGTAGCACTAATTTCCGATCTGTTAAAAGACGTTGTTCATCCTCTTTCCCAATTTTTTCTGCTAATTCTGGACATACTTTCAATTCTGGTATGCTGTGTACCATAGGTACACTGGCCTGAGATACTCCAACTGTATTTCCATTTTTGCTGGTTTCTTGTACCCTCAAATCGGCCCCGCATTCTGCACACAAGTCTATCATCACAGTGGGATGTGTACATCCTTCCAGTAGAACTATCACTTGCCTGGAACACTAATCAACTATGCAGACATCACAAAATTCAAGTATATTTTAAATAGACACAATATAAAACCATTTCAATTAAAAAGTGTTTCCGTATGCAATATATATTATATATAAAATCCTTGTTTCAACCTTTAGTACACACAATGATTTTCTAATCTGTTATTATAAGTGTTGTTTGTGTCCTCAGTTAATTTTCATCATGTTTATAAAAATATATAAGATCATTAAGTAATTCTTATATATAATATATTTTTTAACATATTTAAAAAGTATTTGTACATTAATTGTACATTAAAAAAAAAGAGAAAAGAGAAACCATTATATTAAATAGGTAAATATTTCAAAGAAAAAAGTATAAAATATACGACTCAATTGTGTGTACTAAGACTGAAGTCCATTCTATAATAGCATAAGCATAGTTAAGTGATTGTATTTGTAAAAACTGATCAATCATAGTTCAATATTCTCTTAATAAAAAGAATATAGCAATATTAAGAATAAAATCTTTATTTTAATAGAATATACAGATTATTTTCAACTTTCTTCTATTTTAAAACACAGAATAGAAGCTCTTTATTAACTCATCTTGTTTAAGATCTGAAGATCTATCAGTTTATGATACAGATGCAATGTACTGAGTTTAATCAGACCTTCGAATCTTTACAAAATCCTTGTCTAACATAAAGTAATAAAAAAGTAATGCGTTCTTCTTGTTTGAAGACGTTTGAAATTGGCAGTTCTACAGATTTTGAGCGCGATGACGCTACGGAATTTCACGTAACTACCATTTGCTATTATTCCAAATGAGGATTATGGGAAGGATTATTCATACCCAGGCTGGACAACGTCACCCTCCTTGGCCAGAAACTGCTTGACGCGGCCGAAATTCGTGGCCCGCAGCTTCTTCTCGGGCTCTTTGGTCTCTTCGTCGTCGACGGTTGGCGTCGCGTCCTGGTACACCAGCAATATTCTGCCCGCTGCGACCATTGTGTCCGAGCGTACCCTCCATTTTAGAATTTTCCCGGGCGGTCTGTCTGACGGGAATGTGACTTCTATCGTTGCCATTGCGCACTCGCGCTCATCCGGAGCACAATAATAAAGCAACTCTATGCGATCGACTTCGGAGAACGGGGGTCACAGGGATGTTCCGAATATTGCGCTTCTTAACCTCCCTTAAGAAAACCGTTCTGCGTTTTTGCGCGGGAGACAAAAACAACGCGGGACGTAAACACGACCCACGTCAACATCGATCGAAAGACGCGAGTGCACTCGAATACATGCGCGTAAAAAGAGGAAGGAGAAAGAGAGACGCGTGATTGAATGTGATTGGCGAAAGTCTGTCTTGGCGATCGCGTCAATCGCGTGGATATGAAAGATAAATGGAATAGTTGCACAAAGTTTTTTATAATTGAGCGAAGAGACCGAGGTCAGCGAAGTTGGTTGAAATTGATTGATAATGTATTTGTATATAATATAATTATTTATTATATTTATTAATTTTGACGTAAGCTCTTTTTGAGTTACCTAAAAAAAAACATTGCACATACATACACAAATTATATTATTTGAATAATGTGCTATTATTTTTATTTAGAACTCGGTTGATATCGTTGATATATAAATTGAAAGACGATTAACGCTTTGATGCGTCTTTCTTAATTTTTTAGCAACTATATATTATGTATTAGTTATTTAATTATTATCTATTTGTTAATACGAATTTTTAAATAGCTTATAGATACATATATATTTTTAAGATAAAAATAAATTATGCAATTACAAATGTTATATTATTTTTAATACATTTGACTGTTCAATCGTACGGAAATAATGTCAAGCTCTACATCAAGACTCACCTGAACTGTGAATATAATGAATATGCGATCATTTGCGATAATTGATTTTGTACTACGATTTTTTCGTTATGTTAATGTCTGAAGAGGGCTTAATCCGGTAGTCGAAACTTGTAACTTTTTATTTTTTTTATTTTTAATTTTATTTTTACTTTACGTAATTTTACCTTTTGTTAATTGTAATATATTCTTCGTGTAATTTTAAAGACACTAATGTGTCGACTCTTACTTTGCCCTTTATTTATTATTATTTATTTTGTTATATTATCGATATTAAAATTCCTCTCAAGGTTTGTTTATTAAATTATTTCACATCTTAAAATAATTTATGATTTCAATTGAGTTTTCTTAATTGCTTTATTAGATTCAAATATTTCATTAATACAAATTATTTTTATATTTATTAAATTCTTATATAATTTTTTCAATAACATGTTTAAGATAACATGTTTAAAGATGTCATAAAGACGTTTTTTAAATATGTTGTCTCTTTTTTTGTTTTCTTATTTTTTATATTAATTAACTTTTATTGTTTCTTTATTTTATTTTTAATCATTTATTCCGTTAATAAGATTATTTTAAATTTAAGAATATTGCCTCGTCCATTAGAAGATAGTAATAGATAATTGCAGTTTCACAACAAAATTGCAATATTAGTTACGCAGATGGAAAAGGCAATTTGTAAAAACATAGTGCGATCACCAATCATATATCAAAGTGTTTCGTGCCGCATCATGTCGCATGTGCAACGCGCTCGAATTCGACATTTTCGACAGTTTTCAATGTTTTGAAACGGTTAGAAATAGTCTTTCATATCATGATTTAATTTATTGACATTCGCGCGGCAAATGATCGCGTCCGCAATCAAGAAATAGCACTTAGAGTGATCTCACATTATTTTTCGAACGTTCATTATCCATGCGGTTTTTAATTTCTCCATAACATGTCAGATAGCATAAGTACTGGTACGCCGGACAGCCGAGGTAGCGTCATGTATACCCCGCGAACACCTCGAATGCGTCAACGACAACGGTTCGATTTGAGTACGTGGGTAGAAGAAGACGAAATCGATGGACTGGAAGGTAAACAACGTGCTTTTTCGTATCTAAGAAAGAAAATCGAAAGCGTACTTCAAACGCTTAGAATTGATGTGGCACAAAAGTTTTTTATGCTGATAGTTCCCAAGATGTAGTTGAATGTAATACTTTGGTTTTACGTTAATCGACTATTCAATTTAAATATTTAACATCTCTTTTTATTTGAATATACAATCTTTTACTTTTACGTACAACTTAACCTTACAGGCTTAGTAGCCCAAACATGGAACATTTATGCAGTATCTGCTCTGTTTGGCATCGAACAAGACGATGTTCACTTTAAACTATATTCGAAGAAATTGAGAGAAGAGATTGCAAGCACCTTATCACGTGAAGATGTAACTTATGACGCAAAGTTTTCTGTTATGGAAGATATTACATCTAAACCAAATAATGAGGATCCTGTAATCAAGGTCTAATAAAAAATACTGACAATTTTTAATTTTTAATATTTTTTTATACAATAGCTTCTTAATATTTTGTAATATCATGTTAAAATATGTACATTGTTAAAAAGACAATCAGACTTAAACTTATTTATAAAATATATTTTAGATTGAAGTTATAGCTAAAATCCATGGTCGTGAGGATAGTGTTGAAAAATCCATTTATAAAGGAGTATTATTATCCTGGAGCTTAACACGGACCACATTAAATATACAGAATTCTATAAGATTGCCTCTTCTACTGTGTCGTGGCACTCGCAGCTGTATGGACGCAGTACATACTATCATCAGTCGTATGTTTGACTGCTTGATAGTTACACTACCAGCTAACGACGATGACTTACGTTGGCTAGTTCCAATAATTATTACAGCTACTAATGAGGATAAGCCTATAATTTTTGGTGAAGTTCAAATGGAATACACAGTACCAGAATTACCAATTACAGATATCATTAAAATTAAATATCATAGTTCAGACTTGAAGGAAATATTATCAGCGTAGGTTAACGTTTAATTGAATGAAAATGTTCAATATTATTTATAATATTTAGTTTATAATAGTATTTATTAATTTACAGTATTGTCGGAGATCAAGATAATAGAGTTAATGTATTTCTTGATTACGAACACATGGAAACGTTCCATAAAGTTTTACATGAGCAAATGTTAATTGCAGGAGGTTTACAATTAGGATTATGTACATTACACAGGATTAATCTGCCTGGAATAACAATAATGGGGAATAGAGTGAGTCTTTGCATCATTTTTATTTTTCCTCTTATTTTACATCGAAATAATGTTAAAACAAAATCTATTTGATACATTTTTATATAGCCTAATGTGTTTTTCTTTTTTTAGATGAAAATAACAAATGTAGAAATTATGAATAATATATTGTTATACTTTAGTGACAAAGCTCTTGATATATTTCATACAGTGCATATTGATATATGAATTTTTCTTATTTTAATGTTTTGTGATACACATAGTTCAAATACAGTAATATATCTTGCTGTATTATTGCAATAATTATTTACGTTGTCATTGTCATAAAAAAATAGAGGTTTGATTTGTCACTGTAAAAAAAATTGCTATTAATTTTATAAAAAAAAACTTGTATATCAAACATATTGTATCTTTGATAATAAAAAAATATATATTAAATTTCGGATTATTATATAAGTCATCTTTTCGTCTCTAGTTTGATCATTATAAATTGCCATAACAAATGAGTTTTTAATTTTAAACGACACCTTCTATTTCCATCTGTAAAATTAAAAAGAATATATTAAGTAAAAAGTTAACATACATATAAAGTTAGTATTCATTATATAACACTGCAGGAACTTACAAAATCAGTATCACTCTTTGTAGTATTATCTTGTCGATTTTTCTTGGCTTTTACTTTTTGTACGTGATCTTCAAAACTTATATAATTATCTGGTTTTTCGTCAAATGAAGGTATAGATATTCCAAGTACTTCGGATAACATAAAAGGTTTTAACCACGTCACAAGTGGGGTAAGTCCATAAGTATATAATGCTTGACGATGATAAAATAGCAATCCATCCAGAGATTGTTTATTATCAAGATTTGCCAAGGCTGAATTAATGTCAGAGTTACAATTAATATTTGGTAGAGTTAAAATAGGATATTTATTTGTATCAGCATTACGTTCTTTAAATTCTGGTATTTCCTGGAACTTAGTCGTGATCCAGAAAAACCTGAACTCAGCCTACAATAATATATAAATATATTTATTTATTTATTGCTTATGTATCTTAATTTATATCAATTACTTTACAAATACAAATTGATTTATATGTGAAATGTATATTACCTGACAATTTGTGAATGGCAATTGACTCCAATACAATACGTCTAATATATAAAAGAGTTTTCGGTTCTTTATCCATAGACAATCGACAGCAGCAGAGTGATGAAAGTCACTATCAGGATTTCCACCTGGAAGTGCTGAAGGAAAGACACCATGTAGAACACCTTTTCTAGAATATGACCTTGTTTCACCCTGATTTAAAAAATTGTTAAAATAATTATTATATGTTTATAATAAAGATTTCTTATTTGATAATAAATATCAATCAAGATAAGTTAATACCCAGCCTGAGATCATTCTAACTCGTTTTCCTATTGGACATGGAACCATAATCCAATTTTCAATTAAATCTTGCGGTACATCTAGCATCCATTCTGATAGCATCATTCGACTTGTTCTGGAATCGTTCGGAAGAATCTTATAGTACGATGAGGCATAATCTTCTACTTCCATATACTCCTCTTCATTCATGTACTCTTCCGCATCCATATACTCAATTTCATCTATATATTCCTCTTTATCTATATGTTGCTCCTCATCTATATATTCCTCTTTATCTATATGTTGCTCCTCATCTATATATTCCTCTTTATCTATATGTTGCTCCTCATCTATATATTCCTCTTTATCTATATGTTGCTCCTCATCTATATATTTCTCCTTATCTATATCTTCATTTTTTGATGTAGAACATTCTTGTATACCACGTATAGTATTGATAGTTTCATCTCTAAGTCTATAGAATGACAAAAGAATGATGAAATAGCGTATTTATATAAAAAAATAGAATGTGAAAAAAAATGAAAAACATTAGAATGATGTTAGAATAACATTAGAATAAAAATATGTAGAGGCCATTGAAAACTAATGATGTACGTCTTTTCCAGAAAGACATCAAAGACTCAATCATTCTGTTAAAAATGCATTTTTACTGAATATCAATTATAAACAGAATGACTTCTGTATTGATAAAAATTTCCTGAAAAGCCCCAATAATTATGTCTATAAGTGGTAACAATGATAGATATAGCTAAAAACATTAAACATTACTTTCTCTTCAATGGTTATGAAAATAACAATTTTCAATTAATCATTTCATTTCATTAATTATTATTAAATATTTTTCAATACCCTCATTAAGTTTAAATTTTTTATTAACATTTGTTAATAATGTTTTTATCAATGTATACAAAATAATTGTTTAACATATGTACTTTGTCACAAGTATATTAATTCTTTTCTATGGATTTTCTACACATACAATGCCTATTAATTTTTAACATAAAATACATATTTTTTTAACGATAGAATATTCTTATAAATAATTTGTTATACATACTTCTTTTGATGCTCTAATAACAATCTGCGTCTTTCTTCTTGAGATGTACTATCATCAAGTTCTAATTTAATATTATCTTTTCTTATACGGCTTTTGTAAAATTGCCTACGGGTAGATTCCCTTAGGTTACAATCATTTTTGTTATTGCTTGTGGTATTATTTGTAGTATCATCATTTATATTATCACTTTCGTCATTATTTATATTAATACTTTTGTCATTGTTTATACTACCACTTTTGTCATTGTTTAAATTATCGCTTTTGTTATCATTTACATTATTAGCGACGAGACACTGTGTCTCCTGATCACTTTTATCATTATCGCTTTTATTACTGTTTGATAATTCTGCCATCTCTTCTGTACACTGAATACCTGAAATAACAATAGTTTCTTGAATCTATGAATTAGGGTTCATTGTTCCATTATCTTTTGGATAAAGTTAACCTGTTAGGGCTACGTTCCAAAACTTTCTCTCCGAGGAAGATTTTACTGTATATGCTACAGTATACGTTATGTACTATATATTTCGAATAAAATTTGAAGGTAAGTAGCAAGCTTATCCAACCACGTGCGCGGATTGCCAGATTTACTAACAGGTAAAATTTACCGAAAGATAAAACAATCGGCCCTTAGTATATATTTCTGGAATTTAAAGTGAAATAGATCTATGTTTGACCTTTATTCCTTACTACTTTCTCGTTTTCAAGAAAGTTCTAGTGCAATCTTATTAAGAAATGAAAAACAGACCTTTTGTTGATAGTCAATATGAACCATTAAGATATATTTTTTAAAATATTTAACAGAAACATGAAATTGAATAAATGCAGAACATCATTGAATAGCAAATTAGTTTCTGTCTGTATTATATTATCAGTAAAATCATAAAAATTGGGAAAATAACTAAAATTATCAAAAGTAATAAATCTATTAATAAATGTTATTACAATTTTACAATACTGTTTATAATAAAAGTGACGATACCTTTGTGTAAAATGTAAGTAAAATGTTTTCGATTGTTGTTCAAATTTTCTGACACATATTTGACTTTAATATTTTTTTCGTACTACTTACACAGTCACGTTCCACGATTCTCCAGAGAAATCTGAGACCGAAACTGATTTTAAGACTTGAGTACAGTATATATATATATATATATATATATACTGTGACTTGAGCGTGGCCTTTTATTTTATTGTTTACATGAAGCATGAAATCCGTTCACTAGCGCACCAACGTTCATTTTTGGAAACTAGATGTCAAATCCTTATTATTTATTTTCACAACAGTTGATATGTCGGAGTTCTTCAATTTCCGCTCAGCCTTCAGAACTGAACGAGAAAATGTGATTTATGTAGTTTGTGCAATTGCAGATTTTCTTTCAGTGAGTGATTTTTTTTCCATTGTTAAAGTGTTGTCATTATATTATTGTTTTTTGGAAATTGTATAATTAGAGTGACAAAAAAATACAAAAATGCCTACATATGAAATGCCCTTATTGCTGCGAATCATGAAAAAGGTATCGTACTGCAATGAGTATAGGTTATATTTTTTTACATTATTTATGCAATAAAACATTACGATAATCGTGCGCCTGATATAATATGTTGTATACCATATAAATAATCGTTATCTATTATAAAATAATCAACGAACATTTGATATGTATTTGTAGCCGGAATTGGTAGCAGCCTTAAAGAGAACAGCTGAAACGATATTTAATACTGGTGGTTTTATCAGAAAAATTGAAAATTGCGGAGTAATACCACTTCCATGCAAAACTAGTGCACATGGACATGTTCATCGTGAAGCAAAGTAAGATTATACTTATAATAATATTAAAACATAATTAAGTTTTGGCTTAATTGGAACAAACTAAATTTATGCAATTGATAAATTTTCTTCATTATTATGTATTCTAACAATAGTAAAGTTTATGATATATTTTTATATTATTATATGTATATTTTACTTTATATGTTCCATTTATTTTTCTCTTTTATATTTCCAGCCATTTTTTTATATATTTTGATATACCACCAAATGAAATAGACAAAATTACAGATAAATATAATCGAGATATCGATATTGTTAATTCAAAAATATTCAAACAAGATAAACCGTATAACACAAAATGTACGTTTCATGAAGAAACGTTACCACCACCTTACAGGTACGATTTATAATTCTGTTTTACATTATTTATAATGTAACTTGTAACTATTTGCAATCTTCTATTTCTTATTTATGTAGGCCTAGCGTCCAAAAACTTATGGAAATGGCAAAGAAGCAGAAACGTAATAATAAACACGAATTTAAATACAACACTGGACTGGATTACTATCCTTTTAATAAATAACTGAATATATATATGTTGTATATATTTCTTTTATTGTAGTATATCACACATTTATATTAAAATAAAATATTTTAGAAAAGTCGATCATATATTAAATATTCTGAAAAGATTAGTTGTTATTTCGACTTACAGGGTAGAAGACAATTAAAAGTGTAACATACAATGTATTTCATCATAAGTAACATTTAATATAAAAATCACTTATCGATGACTTTATTAACTCATCAGCATGTTATGAAAAATTATCATTTTTCTAACCATCAATAGATATTTGTACAAAATACTTAATATATAATTATACATATATAATTATTATCTTTCATTAAACATCAATTTCTAGAATGATTTGATTGACTTTAAGATATTCAATTGTAATGACAATGGCGCAATTAACCAGTAACTTTCTTCGTTGTACAATATACTTTGAAACATTCAACAATTATAGTGGCTGTCCGAGCTAATGCTAACGTACAATATCCTTTGTTCCTTTGTATCGTGTAAGAATGTCGTGTATTTTCTATCCTGAGAGCTACACAGTCGCGTTTGTAGTCACGATATACATATATATAACTATAATGGATACATACATACATACTGGTAACATATGTATGTATATTTTACACGTAAGTAAAAAAGATTCAATTTGAATTGTCATATAATCAATAAACGGAATATAAAAAATATTACATACTTCTCGGAGTCCTCACTCTAACATATTAAGTATGACATCATATATATCGATTCTAAATCGTTACGCGATAGATTTGAAATGAAAGTAATAACAAGAAATTAAATTAAATAGTTTATATCAATACAAAACTTAGGCAGGATTTAATCCTTGGATGCATGACATTTTCTAATAAAAATTAGCCAAAATTTAATACAAAATTGATTTGATAAATTTTGAATTGAATAAATGGAGTGTCAAAACATAGCTTAATATTTTTTAAAAATTATCTAAAAAAAAAAGCGATATGATGAATGACAGTGGAATTAAAAAAATACAATTAAAAAAAACATTCTGAATAAATCCCCGTTTTGTGCATCCAATGATTAGTCACCTTTTTGTAAGTTATACACACACACATATATATATATATATATATATATATATATATATATATATATATCTTGTATAATTTTTTTATTTGAAGAATCTTATGTCTCATATCTTAATTCTTATCCTCTGTTGTGGTGAGGATATATATCATTCAGTATACTTTTTATTTTGGACCTCATTAATATCTATTATGCATTACGCTACATCTAGTCTAGAGGAGTACTTGTACGGGAATAAAGTCAGAAGAGAGATGAGAACAGAATGGTTTTGTTTCTCAACACAAATGCGGAGGTGGATGTTTTACATGTGTCTTGTGTTCCCGAAATTAATGCCACTTTGATTAGCACCTTTATTACTACCGTATTGTAGGCTTATCACGCCCTGTCCGGCCCTCAATTGTTCCTCGGTGAAATTGCGTATATTTTTATCTGCTTCTTTAGGACCGATGCTTGGTTTGCCGTAGTTACCCGCCTGTAAATATGAATATTATGGAATGTTGGAATTTTCGAGACGTTATAAACTAAAAGACAAAATTCGTACATTAAAACGTTTGATAAGAGTAAAGAACGATATATAAATACTGATAACGAATCCATTTGATAAAGATGTAAATATCTAATAACAATGAAAGATAATGAATATTCGTATCAGAAAATTAAGATCTTTCTGCGTTACGAACATGATTTAACATCTCTGTGATTGAGAATGATTAAAATATATAGTTTACAAAAATTTTTATATTCTTCTCAAATAAGCTTATATGCATTATAGTTGATTTTATGATCTCTAATTAGAATTTAATAATTTGTATATTATTTTTATGAATTTATTAACATTTGATATTAAATATGATTGATTAAGTTATTTTAACTATATATTAAATAAATAAAGTTTCTTGCTAACAAATTAAATAGCAAACTTCTGATATATATTACTAGTCTTAAGATTTAATTTGTAAGACAATTTTTATTTTTACATTTTATTTTATATAATACAAAGATATTCACGACATTGCTGCAGTTAGTAAAAAGATTATATTGTATGTCAAAATATCAGCCACCCGGTATATCTATATTTACGGAATGGAACCGTACCTTCCTTCCAAGAGATTGTAAGCAAATAACAACGGAATTTAGATTCTGCCTTTCCCAGAGGTCTACGGTCTGGAAGGTCTCTTGCGGCGGAACACCTAATGATTTCGCAGCCTCCAGGAAGGCATTTATATTCTCCATACATTTAAAGGCCAGCGACGTCTTGTTAATTTTCTTCACCGAGCCCTCCTTGATGTCATTCACCAGTCTAGCAGAAGAACAAAATATGATTAGCAAAAGTATTTTTATCTCGCTGTAGTTTCGGTAGTTCCTTAATTCAACCAGCGTTGGTTTTCCGATTTTTTTTTCAAATACCTGCAAAGTAAGATGCCATCTTTCAGGATCTCGTAGAAGTTGTCCATGTCCCCGTTGGTGTTTATGTTTTCGCCAGTGATCGTTTTGATCCATTCCAGACATTCCTGTGCGAGTTCCTCACTGTACTTACTATTGATCTGTAACGAGAAGAAAAATTTGTATATTATCCTCTTAAAAGTGAAAGTACGATAGCAAAGGTGCTGTTGTGCTTTCGAATTTTCGGTCGCGGGGTACAGTGTCAATGCTTTGGTATTATGCGGAGAGCCGGTTATTAATTATGCGATGTACCAAGTAATGCATCCTGTAGGGATGGGCATGCCACAAGGCACTGCGACAAGGGCATTGCCAAAGTCACTGACCTAATCTCTGTTACAGCATCAGTTCGTTGTTTCTCCGATATTTTCCCATAAATATAGACATCGATTTTAGGAAATATGCAAAAAACAAGCGAAGATGAGCAGTTTTTTTTAGGAATAATTTCTTTATTACAAAAGATGAAAATTATTCGCATACAATACAAGATTAACTCTAGGATTATGAAAGTAATCAAAATAACTGATTAATAATTTGTCAAATTCATAACGGTACATTTTCTGAGATTTTTAGTGATTTTTATTGCAATAAATTAAATGATTAAATCGATCAAAAAAATTTATGTTATCCTTTGCCGCTTTTTTTTATAATAATACATATTTATTTATTTAAATAATAAAAATAGATATTTATACGTTAATCGTCAGTAGATGTTAAGAAAATTTTAAATAATATTTTTTAATTATAAAAACTTCTTTTACGTATCGAAAGATAATTTTACCACAGAATCCCTCATTAAATTTTAATTAATGAATTAAATACTTCATGAAAAAGGAAGGCTCAGCAATTACATATTTCTATCCGTGGATTATCCGCTTTTATGCATGATTGCCTAAAAAGGAGAGGTTTCCAAGCATGGTCCGTTGGCATTCATCTTTCTGCAGTGTGCATATTCCGTTAGATATACAGTGCCTGGGATCGTGATGTACTTTGAGGAGATCACTCATATGAAGAGTATTCTATCACGATGCGCCGTATTTTCCTTCATTTATGTAGATATTAAGTTTTCACATAAAATTAGTTTTTTTTCCTAGAAAAAAAGCTCTCCTCTTATCTAAATTTTTTAACATCCTATATAATTTTACATTAAAAAAAAAAATATTAAAGTCTATTTACAATTAAATAAAAAATTTATTTATCTATACATCTTTAAAGTTTAATTTTATACAATTTTCGTGTGCAATTATTTATAATTCAGTTATTTTAAC